GCATCATAACTTCCTTGCCTCTTGAGGAGACGAGAGGTCGCCAAGCTATTTAATTACCGTTAAAGTCACCTCAATCCGTTATAACTATTAAACGGCCCCAACCCATTATAACCGTTAGACTAGCTATTCAATTACTACACTAGGCCATTACTATAAATTGTAAGCCCCACAAACACTTGGGAGGCATCTCACTCATTTTGAATACAATTCTCTCCTCCTCTCTGAAAGCTTGTAATCTCTTTCTCTCCCATTGCACCGGAGTTAATAACATCCCGGCGACCCTTGCCATTCTAAGTGGACGTAGGTCACCTTGACCGAACCACTATAAACTTGGTCTTCTCCCTCTCAACTTTACTGCATTTTATTTTACTTAATTGACAGGTGGTGTACAAACTAATTTTGTGCATCATCAATGACCTAAAAGAATTAATGTTCAACTACTTTAACATGTTATCTATGACCATAACTAATTTTGCTTTCTAGGACATTGTTAGGAAAGAGGTTAGTTATGAACTAAGTGACATGAGGGCAAAATAAAGACCATTCAGAACATCCCTCGATATATTCGTTGATGACAACTTTGAGCACTACCGTATAAAGTGACAAAGTGTGCATAAAGGTGAAATTTTCAAGGGATAAAGAATGCTCATAAAGGATTAGAGATGCTTGAACTGATGTATTCGAATGGGTCTAGAGTACTTAACACCATTTATTTGGTGGTTGATATCTCTATTACGGGTGATAATCGAGTCGAGCCTTTTGCACTTGTCTATGCTCAGGCTTGGCTTGAGGTGTTAAACTGAATTGTAGGCTCGGCTTGGCTTGAGCTCGATTGTTGAGCCCGGTTTATTTCTCTAGCTCAGCTCAGCATGAGCTTGAGCTCAAATCAAGCTTTCCAGTTTACGTTATTGCCCAATCCTCAATCCAAAATCCACAAGCAAAAAATCCATATAATCTGAGAATAAAACGTCAAAAACCCCATATCAATGATATCAAAATCCATTAAAGGTAAACTTAAATCTAAAACTCAAGTAGCACATCTTTGTTTTTCCAAATCTAGCATCATAGAAAACATCTTTGCTTAGCAGGTGATGATTCCATCGTGCTTGGTTTGAAGGTGGTGGTGGTAGATATGGTAGCGATGATGATTGTAACGCCCCAAAATGCATCCTAAAATGCATTAACTCTCTATATAACATAAAACTATGAGAATATTTAAAATAATCATTAAATAATAAAAACCATCCATCAACTAAATAAATAACCAAACCAATGCCAATAAAACATCATTAAAATCTCAAACTTACATCCCAAAAACTAGTTAGTATCCTGCACATGGAATAAATAACAACCATTCATAACATTGTCTCATAACCCAAATCTTATAAGGAACTAAACTAGACAAAAACAACTTTAAGCCGTCAAATTTGGATCCACATCGTGATCCAGTTTAGCCTCAAAATTAACCTGCTCAGCTAGTGTGATATCCTCTTGAAGTCCATAATCAGAAAAATGTTATATCATGGGACGATATCAAAGCGTAATAGAAAAACCTTCTCAAACCCAAAAAAGGTTTCGAAAACATAAAACAGTGACATTTTGATAATGATCTCAAGTTTATGGTACATAAAGATAATTTCACCATAAAGAAAAATCATTTGCAAATACAACATCTTAAAACATAATATCTTATGTACGTAGGCTGATTAGCATAAAATTACACAATCGAACATATCTGGTCCACACCACACCACAAAACATCCAATCAATCCCTGCAGGCCATATATCTTTAGGAAGGTCATATACCGACATATCGGTAGTGATGATTCCTTCCCCCCAGCCTTGATGATCATGACCGAATAGTGGTTTGATCATCGCAAGACACCAACCCCTCTACCAGTAATAGAAAACCTTTGAACCCCTCGAGGTATGAAACAACATCAAAATACTGTGCGATATAGATTCAAGTGAAATTCATTATCATCGCACCCACCCATACAAAGAGATAATAAAATAACACCACTTTTCAACAAAATCCATGTATACCATTATCCATCATTCCACAATTCTCAAGGTAGAAAATTAATCAAAGTAAAGATGCAAGAGGTCATCACAAGAAACCTTTATGTTCACTGTATTTCAAATTCTAGGGTTTTATCAAGAACATATGATTATGTGTTTGAATGTAAAATCATATGCTTCTTCGAGAATTAATACATATATTCAAAAAGTATTCTAAAAACATTGAAGCTTGATCGAGTAAATCAATTTATAAATCAAGAACTAGGGTTTTGTATCAAGAAGGAACAATCTTTATTGCAAAACATGTATTTTATTTAAGAAATGAATCTTTGAATCAAATCAACATTATAACACCATAGATCTAATATTTAGATCATAAAATAGATGAAAAAGATATACATATACAACCCTAATCTCAACGAATGGACTTGAGAAAGATTCTCTACTTTAATGTGTTTGAATCTTGATTCTAACGTGTTTGATTATGATTTTCCCGGCGTAAATCCTTCAGAATCTCCCCCCTCTTCATTCTCCCACTTCTCCTTAACCTCCTAGGGTTGAAAGCTATTGAAAAATAACCTAAAGAACGTCATTGGGGTATTTATAAGGTCAAAAACAGTGTTGAAATCACGAACTTGATCACTATCAAACACACATCCACATTCGAATGGAAATTGGTGTTCGAACGGACTTTGTTCTCAGTATCTCAAGTTCTGTCAAACTTTAATTCTGCATCTATTCCACGTTCGAACATCATTTCATGTTCGAACGTGAAATCCATTTCTGCCTGAACTTCTAGGGCATTTTGACCTATTTAGAAGTCGATTCGAGATTTTTTCATGAAATATACTTTTGTAGCCCTTGAATTTTAGTTTCTAATGTCCAACTATAAGATCAATCAAACATCGGGGTAAAAATTTTATAGACCAAACACTGAGGTAATGTCAAATTCATTTATACTCAAATTCTCCAAAATGCGTTTTAACTCTAAAATATTTTTAAACTTATAATACACCCCATATTNTACTGAGGTAATGTCAAATTCATTTATACTCAAATTCTCTCCAAAATGCGTTTTAACTCTAAAATATTTTTAAACTTATAATACACCCCATATTACCTCTACCAAAATTTCTCGACCTCCCGGATTCAATGGTAGCATTATTTTAACCTAAAAACATTTAGAAACTTACATAACCAACTTACTTATGTTTAAACACCTCTGAAACTATGATTGACCCGAAATTTTATTCGTATGAAACTCAAACGTTATGATCAATCTTTCAATCACGATTCAAAGATTCTATCATCTTTTTGGAAGTACTCTTAATATCATCTTATACATCTTTGAATTTTGTATGGAGTCTTACAATGATGGTTATGGGTAGCGTAGAGAATGAGGTCACGAAAGAGATGGAGGGAGAGTGATAAAGAGACCAAGGGTTGCGAGCAAAGAAGGAAAGAAAAGACCCTCACTGAAAGCAAAGACAAAGACGGAAAGAAAAATACCAAAGAATTGTGATAGAAGAGGGAGAGTGGAAGCAAGAAGAAAGGAAGAAAACACGGGATGATAAGATACATAGGCGGAGAGGAGGTTACAAGGCTCAAGGCATTTCATTGAACGATGGGCCACGTGAAGTTTGATCAAGTCTTCAGCTTTTGGATTATTTTATTGTATATATATGACTTATTTGATAGTTTTTCAGAAGTTACTATTTGAGTAAAATTTGGTTACCACCGAGTTTCACTCTTTGGAATATACCATGAGTAGAATAAATTACTAAAATATACAAATGGCCAAGGCTCGTTAAATGCTTGACCTTGGCTCTGGCTTGGCTCGAATTTAAAGAAGCCTAATATTTTGTGTAGATTTAGTTCATTTTAAAAAACAAACGACCCCAAGCTAAGCCACAATCGAGCTAAGCTCGAGCTATTCAGATCGTTTAATAGGCCTAATCTCTATGCTGACTCTTAAGAGTTTTTAGTGTAGAGCTCCCAAATTACAGGTGTGCTCAACAATCGTATGATTTATTAGCTTGTATGAACTAACGTTAGTGTGTATACTGAATTGAAAAAGATGACACTATCATACCCATCATGTACATGCGGGAGATGTTAGATATTAGATTGGGTCATGCACCCAAGCTTGGGCGCCCATGTCAAGAGATGTGTCTCTTGGAGGAGTCCTTTGTCACCCAAAGGATATATTTGTCAAACTACTAACAAACACATCCTTGTTCAAGGTACCCGTACAACAAGACCAACCAAAAGAAGGCATCTGCAAAAAAGTTGATCAACATATAAATATTTTCAATACACTCTCTCTCTCTCTCTCTCTCTCTCTCTCTCTCTCTCTCTCTCTCTCTCTCTCTCTCTCTCATGTTCAAGAAAGACTTTTGTGATGTAAAAAATCTGGTGTTGATTCATCTTATGTAACAACCTCATATCAGTAGAGCAAGTAAAAAAATGCAGTGATCATGAATTTTTGAAATACATAGAACATCTTTCACATTTGTGGAATTGAAAGAGAATAAGATACGTTCTTGATCCTACATATCTGCACTTGTATACGATTCGGAACAATAACAGTAGGGGTGATCCACATTTTATGGTCTGAAGTGAAAGTGCATGCAAGCTTTACTAAATCAAACACCAAGTGAAATGGTTACACAATTCTCGATTTGAGATTGACGTGTTACGATTTGACACCGATTAAAAATGAGATTGAATTTGTATATAAATAAAATCTTAGGTACTATCCATCATCATAACCCAAAAAGAAGGGAAAAAAAAAAATTAAATGACCGGGAGCTTAAACCTCGCTCCAGCCTACAACCCAGAAAAAAAAACGAAAACGAAATCAAAAACTCCCATCGCACAAAGTGACAAGACAGTATGTTATTTCATGAGACATCGAATGTGCAATTATTTTTATTGATGGACTTGAGGGTTGAACACAACGTGATCTTGGCTGAAACCACCCATGTTACTCTCTGATCAGAATCAAAATCACGTGTTGTGTGTCGTTTTGCCTGGTGTTTGTATGTTGGGCGCTCAATAGATGAGGCACGTGCATTTGCTGGTGATGTAGTCGACGATGGTGACTGCTGCAAACCCAATACTTCCGAGCATTTGGTCTTGTCTCTTTGCCTGCCCATTGATTCAAGTTCTGAAATTTTGGCTACTTGGTAAAACTGGATGCCCTTAATTTGCTCCATGCTGACCACAATCTTGAACTGAGAATCAGCATTCATAATTGACCTTAAAAAAATGATTTTTCACCTTCCTGGAGTGTAAGGATTTAGATGCTATTTTATTTGATAGTATATCACCTATCGTGTGTAAGTGAGTGGAAGTATTGGACTCCAACTGGAACCACTAAACTTAAAAAAATAATAATNGCATTCATAATTGACCTTAAAAAAATGATTTTTCACCTTCCTGGAGTGTAAGGATTTAGATGCTATTTTATTTGGTAGTATATCACCTATCGTGTGTAAGTGAGTGGAAGTATTGGACTCCAACTGGAACCACTAAACTTAAAAAAATAATAATAATAATTATGAATAATACAACCCAAGTTTATTGAACTTGGGTTTTGTTATTCTTTTTTCTTTTGTATGCATCGCACAAACATAGAATACAATAAATCTTTATTTTCTATTATCTAATCAATGTATCAGCCGTTGGAAGTGAATTCATGCAGAAAATGATCAAAAGAGGATATTGCAAAAAATTAAAAAAGTAAAANATTTTTTCTTTTGTATGCATCGCACAAACACAGAATACAATAAATCTTTATTTTCTATTATCTAAGCCGTTGGAAATGAATTCATGCAGAAAATGATCAAAAGAGGATATTGCAAAAAATTAAAAAAGTAAAAGAACATTCAATAGCTATTTTACTTTTACAATGCCAAGTTTTGTTTAATATTATTTTTCTTTTGATCTTGGTCCAATTTTGTAATAAGCTCAACAGCTAATGGCCCTTGCGCAGCCCAATTTCTAATAGTTTATCGGATAAAAAAGGTAATTGAGAGATATGTCACATATTTGAAAAATGCATTAAATGAGGTAGATTGAAGATGATAGATATATTAACGAAACTAATTAATAGACTTAAAAAATTAACTTAAATTTGACTTAATGAATCACTATCATTGAATAGATAGTGGATCCTATTAAATACTAGAACTTTCAATTAAATCAATGACAAATAAAACAACTAAATCATTAAGTCAAATTTTTAAGTAATTTTTTTAAGTTTGTGTAACTTTGCTCTCAAGTATTAATGTAAGTGTTTAGAATATGCATTTAAGTCTGTGTAGCATTGTTCAGAGTGCGTGTATTCTTTACATGAGAGAACGGTGATTTATTTGTGTTATTCATTTACTGTTATGTAAATTAGTATAAGAGCCTTGATCGACTGGTATGATCGCTAATTATCGAAGTGATAACAATTTTTCCTGTGACAATGATCATGTGGAAATAGCTCTTTCTTTCGAAAGCTGACTTATTTAGTTGTTGGGGTGGGATTCAACAAACCTATAGTGAGTTTCACGATTCAGTTGCTCAACCAAGATCCAAATTAGAATAGAGATTGCAACAAGATAGAGCTTGTGCTTAACCTATTCAAGATCTCAATCTTATCTCTCTCAGGCGACTTCATATTTGTGACATTGATTCCATTGATGATGGTGAGTATGCAAAAGCTATGTTTGATACTTACAATTAAGTTAAATATTATAAAAAGACGTGATTATGAGTAATTTTTGCATGCAATTTTGATGGTTATTAATATACAAGATTTTATTGATTGGCTAGCTAAAGTTGATAAGTCTTCTGATTACATGGGCATTTCAAACGTATGGATGAAGGTAGACTTGGTGGCTTATAAATTGAGGGGTATAGCTTTTTTATGGCGAGAACAAGTGCAGTCTTTACATGCAAACCAACAAAAAAGTCCATATTTTTCCTTAGTCGAGGATGAAACGCTTGTTAACAAAAATATTTTTTCCTTTAAATCATGAACATATTTTATTCCAGCTACAGGACTACAGATAGAATAAGCAAATATTCCCTCATTCAATAATTATGCAAGTCCAAACGAAAAAATAAAATAAAAAAAGACACAATATCAAAAAGAGAAGATTGAAGTGGATGATAATGTTGAGTGAACTTATGGTGATAGTGGGGGAGCCTCTTGATGGTTACCAACAAAAAAGAGTTTGGAAGGAAAAGGTGAAGAAGGTAAAGACAAAATCAATAACAATCTCATAGTTGATGATGCAACACCTAAAATTATTGAAGTTGAACTCATGTAAACTTGCTAAGATTGAGGCAAAAGACAAAATTTTGAGAAGATGAGACAAAATTAATGAAAAAACGCTTATAAATAGAAAAGGGAATTGGTGATATTTCTAGTTGGAGGAAGTCCACCAGTGATCACTATAAGTTTATCGAAGTAAATCCAAATTAAGGTCCAATTTTTCTAAATGTTGCAATTCCACACCAATGATGGTTTTTGAGTCTAAAGACGGCCATTATTTTATGATGGAAACTATCAAACGACATTGTATTAATAAAAAGGACGATGGCAATATTTGAACACGAGACTATTTGTTTTAATACCATGTTAAACGTTCATCTAGAGATGTAACTTAAGTATTTTTATTTTAAGAATAACTACTTTTATGTAGTTAGTGGCACAATTGGGATGATACTAGAGCCAAATCAAATGGCTCCACATAAATTTTCATGCAGGAGTTGTTGGGAGAGAGAGAGAGAGAGAGAGATGATCTCCTCGAACCCTCCTTATTCGCGTGCCTCTACGGTCACTTATCACAAAGCATCGAATATGTCTGGTTGATGATATTAAGACAAAAATCTAGACTTAAAACAAGGTAAACACAAGAGATACAAAAGGTAGCGATTTTCTTTCCTCTATGCATTAGTACCAACATTCATTTACAAGATGAGAAGACAAAACATTCATTTTCAAGATGAGAAGACAAATGCTTAAACCAAGGACCTGCATGTTAGGGGTATCCATTTCACATACCACGATTGGGGCAGACATTTGCAAAGTGTGATGGATCACCACAAACAAAACACCTCCTACCGGATACGGGTTCACCTGTTGCTGACACAAATGTCACATCATTTGCATGTGCTCCACCGCGGCCGCCCCTCCTATTCGGATTAGATGTTGAGCTGCTAACATACCCATGCGGAGCACTTCTTCCTCCATTGAGCTCATCCTCCCATCTGCATTACAGATTTACATGAAACGTATATAAACAAATTGTTAACTAAACGCGTATTTAACAAAGTAGATTTAACTGAAACGAACATGGATAGAGATGACTCTATGCAGACTCCAGGTGTCCCAATGGAATACATTTCTTGTTTATAACTCTCCATGATTTTTAATCCAAAAAAAAAAATAATTGAAACTCCACCTTTGTACTTTGTAGCCATGTATCATTACGTCTTTCATCAACACTACAGTTTTCCTCTATCTCTCTCTCTCTCTCTCTCTCTCACACACACACACACACATACACAGAGAACCGATTGAAACCTCAAGGAACACCACACATTACTTCCAGTTAAAAGTAGTGCATTAAATTCCCAGCCCAAAAAAAAAAAAAAAGATTTAAGTTATTACTGCTGCAGAAGATGAAGGTGCAACAAACTTTAAATGATTCATATCAACTAATTCTTCAGTGTTGCACAAACATAAGAAAACCAGCGATCAACAAGAACAGCAAGATTTAGAGCTGAATTAAGATTAACATGGTCGTATTAAAAACTTATTCATGGAAATAAAACAAGGAATGCACAACTCCAGGTTGACATACACAAAGAAGTTGCACCCCTGCGATCGGCATGAATAGAACTTCCTCCCCCTATTATTTGCAGTATTAGCAGTCTGCAAAGTGCAAGCTGTACCACATCTATCACAACGGATTGAAGATTCACCTGTTTTATAAAAACATGTTATCATTAGATATGCAATTTGATGTCTCGAGTATTGATGAGATCTTGCATTGCACTACACTCAAAACATGAATATAGTATTGAGTGAAGGTCAGCGCTCATCAGATAATTCAATTCATAAATGCTCTCAACTGGGATGGATCTTTAATGTGTTTTGGTGTGACTGATTTAATGTCTGCCTCTTGTATTAAAAAACAATGGGCAGGCAACACACACCCCAACAGGAGTACAAGCAGTTTTATTGAAATGTAAGGCCGCCTCCATCATGCATCCGACAATCACATTTTTAGTGCACAGGCTCCTGGGTAAGCTAAGCTGTGTTTTTTGCCTGTTGCCATCTATACTGCATAATGTCTTTTACGACGTGCTGCTTTTGTTGTGGTATGATAGCTTCTATTAAATGTGATCCATAGCAAGGAGACGATGACAATTGAGGCTTCTTACCATTTTGTAGATTCATTTCCCGAGACCAAGCACTACCAGGACGAGAGGCTTGTGAAGGACAATCATTTGAAGAATGCCCTGTTTGCCTGCAGTGGATACAAGCACCCTGCCTAGAATTATACCGTTGGGCGCTGCCAGAAGACATTCGTCCTCGTCCTCTTACTAGAGAAAATATTGCACAATTAGTTCTTTGGATTGTAACTCAAAGGACATAGAAAACTGACATATTGTAATATAGATTTCACTTTCTAAAATGTGAGATTTTGTTCTAAAGTAATTCTACAACAAAAGTCACGTGCACCAAATTTCACTCTAAACCAAAGTTCAAGAAATTAATTCATTGTATTATCTGCGTAGCAAAATAAGGACCTGTTGAAATCCTTAGTAAAATTGAATCGAGCCTAATGCAAAAACGGCTTCTATTACAACACTCCAGAACTAATGTAATTCAAGGTGGTGCCACGCCCTAGTTTGAAGACTGTGCTCGAATAATTAAATTACTTGTCAGCTAAGAAAGTATGGATACAAACAAGGGACATAGATGCGACAAGACACAAATACTCAAATATGACATTTCTCAAAAAAGTAAAACACGGTCTAAGACATATTATAAATAATTGTATTTTATATGTACATTATATAATTTATTAAGTATAAAAATAATGATGCACTATTTATAAAAAATTCAGTACTTTAAGGCAGTTAAATCTTATGTTTAAGTCATCTAGTGTGAATTTTAAAACTAAAAGATTATGGTAGTCAATATCTCCGATTTTTTTATAGACAACGTATGGCAAACATACATAATTACAATGATTGTTTTCATCTTCTCAATTACTCTTCGTTAGTAAAACTTTTATGTATCTTTTACTTTTATTAGTAAATTTTAAGTAAAACTTTAGAATTTTCGTCTTAACAATTATATGTTATCTCATAGAATAAGTTAGTAATTTTCTAAATTTTGTAACTTTGTTAATCACATTTAATATATACTTATTGTCCAATAGTAGACATGGCCTAAAGAAGTGTCGAACATGGCATTAAAAGATTGTAAGACACATGTTTGAAATTAAATTTTTTTATTTTAATTATGGACACAGGTAAAATAGTATTGAATACGTGTCTAAGAAGCGTTGGTATCTGGCACAAATACATAGCCCTAGCCTTCTTAAGAGTATTTTCCACATGCACGACTTCACATCTTGCTATGACATACTTATTTTTAACTGAATGGTATTTTAGTACTCTCCTTCAATAATCTTTTCTATTTTTGCTTATTTTTCTCTTCTCTTTCTCTAAACTCTAATTTACTTCACAATCTAAATTGGTATCAGTGTTTCAATCAAAATCTAAAGAATCAAAGTTGTCGGAACTTATCAAAAACCCTCTCTCATACCCAACAGTAATCACTATCAAGATCTGACATGCTGACATCAGATTCTAACAGGTAAACGCCAACATCCAACTTATCAGAAAATTCCAAAAACTGCATGGGTAGATTCGAATCCTCCTCTTGAGATTTATTGTTACTTTTCTGGAATTTTTATTTGNAAACTTATCAAAAACCCTCTCTCATACCCAACAGTAATCACTATCAAGATCTGACATGCTGACATCAGATTCTAACAGGTAAATGCCAACATCCAACTTATCAGAAAATTCCAAAAACTGCATTGGTAGATTCGAATCCTCCTCTTGAGATTTATTGTTACTTTTCTGGAATTTTTATTTGCTAGTTTATGGGTCTTTCAAATTTTTGAATGTTTTTCGATTCTTTTAGTGCCAAATTTCTATTTATTTATGAACAAAAACTTAATAATTGATTAATTAAGCATGCTTATTGGGTTAACATCCATTTATACAAGATAACATCAAGTTGGAGAAAAAAGAAGCATAACACGAGGCAGAAGTCACTTCAACTAGTTTGAAACACTTGATTTCCATCAAACAAACACATTTTTACATAATGTTAAGATCTCATAATACAAATGAAGTACTAATGAGTACATCATATTCATACTTTAAATCAAATTAAGACGTATAATAATTTTTAATCAAATGAGTAAAAATTTATTATTTGCATGCTATTAATACTGGATTACTAACTGAAATTGACATCAATGGGAGAACTGACGATTTGTTCTCTTGGTTTTAAACCCCCACCCCCCTTTTTTTATAATCCTTTTTACTTTATTATAACCGTTGTTTTAAAATTTAATACCCTCCTTTTTGTTCCTTTTATTCTTTATACAATTGTTATTTACTAAAATGTTATATTAATAATATACTATATTTGTTAAATATTTTCAATTAATTCTATCGTATATTAAATATTTGAAATTAAGTTTTTGGGTATGCAAAAAAAGATATGTGATAGGGATGATGCTCTTTCTCTGATCTACAGATCTGGGATAGAGATAGATAGATCTAGCCTTGCTCTAGCTTTTCCCTTCTTCTCTTGTTCTCTCTCTGTGAAGTTGTAGCCCTTTTCTAGTCTCTTTCTCTCTCTCGAACAGAATGATCTAGCTCTCTCCAATCTCAAATCTATAGATCAGAGAAAAATTCATAACCACCGAATAAAGAATCAATAAAGAAAACGGAAGAAAGAGTAAAATAAAAAAAAGAAACGTACTTGGAAGAGGTTGGATTTCGACTATGGGAGTGCAGTTTTGCTCAGATCTGCTCAGATTTTGACGCAAGGATCTTTAGTAAGTTGTTCTCCTCTTCTTTCGATTTATGCATTCTCTCTCTCTTAAGAGATTCTGGTTAGATATGGGGGGTGTAAGTGGGAGGTGGTAGAGGATAGTTTATGAAAAGGATTATAAATATTGTCCTGCTTGTCTCAAGCAGGGGATAATGAACTTTTGTGTCGTAAAAAGGAGGTGGTGATTGTTACTTCTAAAAAGAGGACTGATCCTGCGAATGACTTTGGTCATGATGAAGGGTGGAGAAATGGGAAAGGTAAAGTTGTTGTCAATGATGAGCAGAGAGGGAAGCCAAGGAAGGAGTATAGGCAAAAAACTGTGGTCCATAACACTGTAACGGAGAACAGTTTTGCTGTGTTGAATGAGGAAAATGGAATTGATGTGTTGAATAATGATAGGAGGGTAATTCAACAAAATCAACAGGAGGAAAATGTTAGAGAGGATGATGCTGGAGGGATTTATGTTGGGAATATTTTGAATCTAAATGGGTATCATGTTGCTCAGCAGTCTCAGTTAGTAGGTGAGGATATGGGAGCTGGTTCAGGTGAACTGGAACATGTTGTCCCTGATGCAGCTGGGATTAGTATGGAGGGTAAAGCTGTGGGGAATGGCTCTGACAATCAAGTGAATGTGCATAGGCCAGATGCAGATGGAAGCGTGGAGGTATTTTCCTTTTCTTCTCCTGTTATTTTAGTTAATAATACTTCCAATAATAGGAGTGGGAAGAGTGATGGTTTGAATGGTGGTTCTAAGGAGATGTTTGGTGTTGGCTTATTGTCTGATGATTTAGTTGTGGCGGATAGTTATATGGAGAATACTGTGGAGAAAGAGAACTTGGGGGTGGGTAAGGGACTCTTTGCCCCATCACTGGATTCTTCTTTTCTTATTAAACATCACTATGGTGTAAGGAGAGGATATGATGGAGCCTTAGATGATCAAATTGGATTGGTTAATGAGAAGGTTCCTCTTCATAACGGATATTACTCAAACCAGGGTAGTTCTAAGATTCAGAGGGAAGTAACTATTGAATCTGATAATTCTAATAGTTCTTTTCATGAAGATGATGAATGCAATGGATTAAGTTCCAGTGGTGGTCTTCCTTCCATTAATACATGATTAACCTCATTTCATGGAATATGAGAGGAGTAGAGAAAGCTGCTAAAAGGAGATTAAAAAAGCTAATAAAGATGCATGATGTGTGCTTTGTTGCAATTCGACTCTTTTTGCTAGAAGTATTGGTCTAAGGCATTTTTGTTTTAATACTTTAGCAGAAAGGAACATTTGGCTTATATGGGATGATAGAGTTAAAATAAAGGTCTTGTGTGAACATGAGCAAGTGTTAACTGNAAGAACCCAAGTTATTGGTTACTAAAATGACTCTTTTTGCTAGAAGTATTGGTCTAAGGCATTTTTGTTTTAATACTTTAGCAGAAAGGAACATTTGGCTTATATGGGATGATAGAGTTAAAATAAAGGTCTTGTGTGAACATGAGCAAGTGTTAACTGTGAAATTGAGCTTTATGACCACTGAAGTTTTTTGGATATCAGTGGTTTATGCTAAGTGTGACCATATTCTTAGAAGGTCATTATGGAGCCATTTGGTTGATTTGGATATTCCTTCTGGTATGCCTTGGGTTGTGGGGGATTTTAATTCCATTTTATATTCTGAGGAGAGAAGAGGAGGAGCATTTCCTTCTTTAATAGCAATGGAGGAGTTTGGTAATTTTCTGGATCAAAGTGGTTTGATGGATGGTGGTTTTAGTGGAAACAAATACACCTTGTGACAATAGGCAGGGGCATATGAGAATGATGCAGAGGTTGGATAGGGCATTGATAAATGCTTCTTGGAAATTGAGGTATGGAGGTCTGGAAGTAGTACATATGGCTAGAGGTACTTCTGATCATAGTCCTTTATTTCTGAGAATTATGGATACTCCAGCTCAAAGAAGGATTTCATATTTCAGGTTTCAGGATATGTGGTGTGATCATGAGGGGTTTTTTGATCTGATTGCAGCTAATTGGAGTGGTCAGTATTCTGAAAATCCTATGTCCAACTTGTTTATTAAGCTGAAATACTTAAAAGCACATATGAAGCTTTGGAATAAAGAGGTGTTTGGTAACCTGTTTGAGAATATTAAAGCTCAAGAGCAGAAAATTAAGCTAACTCAGATGGATTTAGATCAGTGTTTTAGTGATTCCAAAGCCTTGGAGTTGGACAATTATAAAGGTGAATTGGATGATTTGTTAAGGAGAGTGGAGATTTATTGGAAGCAGAAAGCCAACATCAGATGGGCTATGCAAGGGGAGAGGAATACCAAGTTTTATCATGCCATTGCTAAAAGTAAAATTACCAGAAATAAAGTCTCCAAAATTCAGAATAAGGAAGGTGTTTGGGTTCATGGGGACCAGCAGATAGCTGAGGTAGCAGAGCAATTTTATGCAGAGCTTTATAAATCAGAGGAACATGTTATACAGGATCAGATTTTTGATGTTATTCCTAAGTTAGTTAGTCAAGAGGATACTGACTGGCTTACTGGTGTAGCTTCTTTGGAGAAGGTGAAAGAGGTGGTGTTCTCTATGGCAACTGAAAGTGCTCCTGGGCCAGATGGACTGTCTCGAAAGTTCTTTTAGTTTGCTTGGGAGGTTATTAAGCTGGATGTTTGGAATGCTGTGAACTTTTTGTTGAAAGGTGGTGTGATGCCTAAGTTAGTGAATTCTACTTTGTTGGTGTTAATTCCTAAAAAGGATGATCCTAGATCCTTTTCCCCCTTTAGGCCTATTAGCTTATGCAATTTTTTATACAAAATTTTTACTATGNCGGTGGTGTGATGCCTAAGTTAGTGAATTCTACTTTGTTGGTGTTAATTCCTAAAAAGGATGATCCTAGATCCTTTTTCCCCCTTTAGGCCTATTAGCTTATGCAATTTTTTATACAAAATTTTTACTATGCTAATCACTACTAGGCTGTCTTCTTTGCTCCCTGTGTTGATTTCTGAGGAGCAAAATGGCTTTGTACAGGGGAGAGGTATTGGTGATTGTGTGGCTTTGGAGCAGCTACTTGTTGCAGAATTGGATAGAAAGGTGGAGAATGGAAATATGGTGTTGAAATTGGATATGATGAAGGCATATGACAGGCTGGAATGGGATTTTCTCTTAAAGGTGTTGAGTAGTTTTCGCTTTTCAGAATTGTTTACTCAAATTATCTTGAACTGTTTGAGTAGTCAGTTCTTCTCTATTTGTCTAAATGGACAGAGACATGGGTTTTTTGCTAATTCCGGGGGATTAAGGCAGGGGATCCTCTCTCCCCCACCTTGTTTATTCTTGCTGAGGAGGTACTGAGTAAGGATTTAAGGAACATTTACCAGCAGAGGTTGGTGACTCATTTTCATATTGGTAGAGGAACTACACTGGTGAGTCATCTTTATTTGCTGATGATACCTTGGTGTTCCTTAGAGGTAACAAGAGATCTGCTTTAAATGTTTTTAAAATTCATTGCTTTATATGAGTCCTGTTCTGGTCAGAAGGTGAACAAGTTAAAGAGTGCCATGTATTGTTCTAAAAGGATTCCTTTAGTCAGAAGGAATATGCTGACTTCTGTGGTGGGAATTCCTCTTAAGAGCTGTCCTTTTACATATTTGGCCTGTCCTATTATTAGAGGCAGGATCACGAAATGTTATTTTGAGGATGTAGTGAGGAGTTTCAGGAATAGAATTGAGGGATGGTATGCTAAGATGTCTGGAATGGGCAGAATTGTGCTGGTTCAGTCAGTGCTGAGTTCTGTTCCAATTCGTATGCTGGCCTGTATGAATATTCCTAAAGGGATATTGAATAAGTTGAATTCATTTAGCAAGTTGGATAGTAGGAGGAGGCATTGGGTTTCACTTGATAAGGTTTCTAAGCCTAAGGATGAAGGTGGTTTGGGGATCAGAAGTTTTGCTGAAATCCAAGCCGCATTCAGAATCAAGCAAGTGTTGGGTATTTTAAATGGTCATTCTTTATGGGCCAAGGTGTTTAGAGAGAAGTATTTTAAAGGGAAACATATGCTGAGATGTGTGTCTGTTGGGGCAGGTCAGTTTTAAGATCTCAAGGCCATGGTTTGAGTTTGTGATTAATAATTCTAAGATGATTATTGGTAATGGTCAAGGAACTGATTTCTGGTGTGATTCTTGGATGGAGACTGGTCCATTATTGCCCAGAATAGAAGGATGTCCTTTATTCTTTCCCAAAGTCTATGAGGTATGGAGTATTAATGGGTGGCAACTGGAAGGAGTTTCTGAGTGGCTTACTCCACAGTTACAAGCAGAGGTTAGAGGTGCTGGTGTGGTGTGGTGTAGTCTGAGAGGCCTGATAGAAGAGTATGGAAGTATACTAACTCAGNGCTGGTGTGGTGTGGTGTGGTGTGGTGTGGTCTGAGAGGCCTGATAGAAGAGTATGGAAGTATACTAACTCAGGTTCCTTTTCTGTNTAGAGGTGCTGGTGTGGTGTGGTGTAGTCTGAGAGGCCTGATAGAAGAGTATGGAAGTATACTAACTCAGGTTCCTTTTCTGTCAAATCTGCTTGGGATAAGGTTAGGAGGAGAGGTCTCAGAGTGTCATTGCTCAGAGTATTTGGAAACAGAAAATGTTTCCTAGTGCTCAGCTGTGTATTTGGAAGGTTTTTAGAGATGCATTGTCCACTGATGCTAGAGTCCAGACTGTGGGTGTGGCATTGGCTAGTAAATGTAGTCTTTGTGGTATGGGGGAGGAAAATGCTTCACACTTGTTTGTTAATTTTTCTTTTGCTCAAGCTGTATGGAGAAGGCCTTCTGCTATTATGGGTTTTGAAGTGCTGCTTGGTGAGAGTCCCATGTGCAGATTTCTGCGATTAATGAGAGGTTTTAGAGCTCAGTCTCTGAGCCAGGGATTGATTAGGGGGGTGTCTATGTTGGTATATTGGGGTTTATGGAGGGAGAGGTGTAGAAGGAGGTATGAGGGGATCTATGTGAATGCTTATGGCATATATTTGCAGGTGATCAGTGCATTAAGGTGGCAGGCA